GAAATTTGATACATAAGCACTTCGAATAAAGGAAAATCAAACGCCAATTTCAAAAATTTGGTTTTGCGCATGCGCAGTGCCAACTTTTTTATTTATGGAAGAATTTAAACGAAATTTGATACATAGGCACTTGGGATAAAGGAAAATCAAACGCCAATTTCAAAATTTGTTTTTGCGCATGCGCAGTGCCAACTTTTTTATTTATGGAAGAATTTGAATGAAATTTGATACATAGGCACTTGGATAAAGGAAAATCAAACGCCAATTTCAAAATTTGGTTTTGCGCATGCGCAGTGCCAACTTTTTTATTTATGGAAGAATTTAAACGAAATTTGATACATAGGGACTTGGGATAAAGGAAAAACAAACGCCAATTTCAAAATTTGGTTTTGCGCATGCGCAGTGCCAACTTTTTTATTTATGGAAGAATTTAAACGAAATTTGATACATAGGCACTTGGGATAAAGAAAATCAAACGCCAATTTCAAAATTTGGTTTTGCGCATGCGCAGTGCCAACTTTTTTATTTTATGGAAGAATTTAAACGAAATTTGATACATAGGCACTTGGGATAAAGGAAAATCAAACGCCAATTTCAAAATTTGGTTTTGCGCATGCGCAGTGCCAACTTTTTTATTTATGGAAGAATTTAAACGAAATTTGATACATAGGCACTTGGAATAAAGGAAAATCAAACGCCAATTTCAAAATTTGGTTTTGCGCATGCGCAGTGCCAACTTTTTTATTTATGGAAGAATTTAAACGAAATTTGATACATAGGCACTTGGGATAAAGGAAAATCAAACGCCAATTTCAAAATTTGGTTTTGCGCATGCGCAGTGCCAACTTTTTTATTTATGGAAGAATTTAAATGAAATGTGATACATAGGCACTTGGAATAAAGAATCATCGAGCGCCAGTCTCAAAATTTTCTTTTGCGCATGCGCAGTGCCAACTTTTTTATCTATGGCACCATTTAAGTGAAATTTGATACTTAGGCGCTTGGAACAAAGGAAAATCTAACATTAGTTTTAAAACTTAGGTTTGCGCATGCGCAGTTCCAACTTTCTTATTTAGAAAAGCATTGAAATGAAATTCTTGTCATAAACTGAAATTGAAGTAACACGTCAAAAATGGATTGCCCATGTGCAACGCTATCTTTCATATTTGTGGCCGGATTTTTACGATTTTAACAGAAGTTGCATCTTATAAATGGGAAATGAATGCAAGTGGAAATGCGCTTTATGTAAATCGTTTACGATTACTTTTTAACTTGTTACGTTTCCCTTCTCTACAGCACAGAGGAGAGATTCGACTCTGCTCTCAGTTAACCTGTTAACTTCTAACAGATAGTGGGTCAAACCAAATACCTTAAACTCCAAACTAAACTGCAAAATTTTGAATAATTAGAATGGACCTTGGGCAAGCATCCAAAAAAACAGAGTTGAATTAGAAATGAAGTCGTTAGAATGAAACACAGGGAAAATTAATGCGAGGATTACAAAAGTGCGCACACACACAAGGAAAATGATACAAAAACACAATTGCTACACAAAGATTAAAATTAAAACTTAATTACTTACAATACTTACATTAGATGTCCGGGAATTGTAATCCAAATAAAAGATATCCGCACACAAACACAAAATTACAAATTTCAATTCAACAATAATTACACTTTGAACGCACGTTGGAATGGAAACACACTCATGGGGGCGCCGACAACCTCTTTTCTTCGAAGCACCTTGTAAGATGGTCAAAACTTTACGACACTCCTCCAGCACGAACAAACGGGAAACGTAGAATAATAATTAGCTGCGAACTCGACTTCCGGCTTTACAAACGGAACTTCTATCTTCAAACTTAAAAAAAAACGTAAT